GAAGAACCATCACTAAAAATATGACAAGTGATTATCTTCTGACCAACCAACCAAACTCCATACAGACGACAATCCAACGAGCGTTTCCAAAGAACTTGAATATACACGGGTCGAGACCATAAGAACAGAAGAGAGACTTGAGGAGGCCACAAACCAACAAATGCCGAAACCACAATCTCTCATGAACCAAACCCGGCAGGAACACACAACGCCACACTGAAACAGACACGCTTAAGCTTATTTTTACTAATCCTCATAAATTAGTTATTTATTATTTCGGCGAAAACTTATTTTTTTTGTTTACATTTATTATTGTGAGCAATTACAAAAGCGGAATAAGAAAAAGGAATAAAATCAGAAATCAAGAGAGGAAGGAAGGAGTGGCGATGGCGGCTCCGAGGAGGAAGATAAGCAAGGAACAAGTTATAGAGAAGCTTAAGGACGATGGAGATTTTGACAGTCTCCGTCTCCGAATCATACGCCGCCTCAAAGATAACGTATATCTCTCCTCTCTATAAAGTCTTTACTTTGCTCTTTTTGAATAGGGTTTTATAACTTTCTCTCGATTCCCAAATACATTCATGGCTTTAGGACCGTAATGATCAGTTCAGTTGCATTGTCAAACAGAAGATCTGTGTTTGGAAAGTAATGTGATTTTGACTTAGTCAATTTTTTATTTGATTATTCGTATATATCTTATTGAAAGTTTGGAGATTTTTTTAGCAAACCTATGATGCTCTGGAGAGCTTTGATGTTACTTCTTTTGTCGTCAACTTAGCTCATCTAGGAGACTGTTATCATCTTATTGGAGTTAGTTCACAGCTATAGTTGACTCTCCTGGTAGTTTTTCAGTTGTACTTAGTTGTGTGATTGATTAGTCAAGTTGATGTGGGTACATGGGTCTTTACACCAAATCAATCGAATGGGCATTCTCGTTTCCGCAACTTGGTAGGATTTTGAGATTAAAGACTTGGTTTACTTTGTGAGGCATTAAGGATTGTTCTTTTAAAGGTGTTGATTAACGTCTCTCTAGAGATTTTCAGTTTTTCTTGGGCTGCATGTGTGTTCCTTAGCGTACTTGTGACTACTAGTATAAAGCTGTAACTTGATTTGCAGGAGGAGTTACGAAACAATATGATATCACTTGTCAAGGAATCAACAGCTTTGAATGGACCGGATGCTCAAAATATGAAAACCAGGCAACTCTCTGATGCCATCTTCCAAGAAGTTGGGTATGTTCAAAACAGAATTGTTTATTAGACTCAGTGACTGACTCTCTTGTTCTTGTAAATGGTTATGACTTATGGCAAGCATACTAATAAGTTTTAGATCTCTTGTAGGAGCAAGATGTTGAGCCAGCTCTCAGATGGGTTGTGGGGGATTATAAGATCAGAAGACGGGATGAAGAACGAGATCAGAGAAACCGTGCAATCTGTTTACACTACATTATCTAACCCTGGAGGTGTTCAAGCGGCGAAACATAACATCCCAGCACCGGTCACAAAAGGTGAAACCTCCTCATCTCTTCTCCATTTAGATAACAAGCAATCCAGGTTTGATCCATCAAGTAAACAGAAGCAAGAACTGATTCAAGTAGGATATGTACAAGAAAACAATGGAGAAGCAGCATGTAGTAGCAGTACTAGCAACAGAGTTGGTTACACTGACAACAATAACAACTGTGATGAAGAAGAAGATCCTGAACTCCCTCCTGGTTTTGGCTAAACATTTTAATTAGTATTTATTTTTTTGTGTAAGATAATAGCACCAAACTCAAATCTTGTGAGAACAACCGATTTATTCTGTTATTTTTTAATTAAAAAATGATAAATATAAAGGCTGCGACTTTGTGAATGTGAATGGTTCGAAGATAAAAGCAATGGCTTGTATTCTACGGTCAGTGGCAACGACCACAGTTGCGTCGCGATTCCAATCGCGATTGCCTCTTCTTCCCCTACCAGTCTCAACCTTTATGTTGTGTGTCTGAAAATGTTGTTGTTCCTAGACTGAGTTTATGGTGGATATGAAATGTGAGGGTTGTGTTAACGCCGTGAAGAGCAAGTTAGAAACCATTCAAGGTTAGTTTCCTGAGATTGTTATGAACAGCTTTGGTTATTATTTTAGTAAATTTACTCTGTTGTTTTGTATGTCATGTGTAATGGACATTTTGATATTTGATAGGCATTGAAAAAGTGGATGTGGATTTGCCTAACCAAGTTGTGAGGATACTTGGATCTTCCCCTGAGACTATGAGTCACTCAAGCTTTAAACCAAACCGGTCGAAAAGCTCGTTTGATTGGCCAAGGTGTTCCTCAAGGTTAGATATCTTTTTCTTATCTCATAGAACATGTAGGAACTGTTAGATTGGGTTTGTGTGAAGTTTCAGTACTCAATTGAACCAAACAGCAAGACTTAAAGATCTATGTTCTGTAGTCTGAACCCATGGCAACTTTTCTTTGTGATGTGTTTGGCAGACTTTTTGGTCTCGGCTGCAGTGGCGGAGTTCAAAGTCCCAGACATCTTTGGGGTAGTAAGATTTGCTCAGGTCAGCATGCAGCTTGCAAGGATTGAAACCAACTTTACAGGCTTGGCTCCTGGGAACCATAGTTGGTCTATCAACGAGTATGGAGATCTCACAAACGGAGCAGCCAGCACAGGGAACTTGTACAACCCATTTCAAGATCATCCTACAATCAAAGAGGTTCCTCAAGCTCACTTTTAAAAAAACCACATCAAATATCATCTCAGTTCTCTTATAACCATTTTGTTTTTCTGTCAGCCATTGTGCGACCTGGGAACACTAGAGGCAGACCAAAACGGAGAAGCGTTATACTCTGGAAAGAAAGAGAAGCTCAAGGTTGCTGATCTAATAGGGCGAGCTGTGGTGGTTTACAAGACAGAGGATAAGAAGTCAGGACCAGGATTAACAGCTGCAGTGATTGCTAGAAGCGCATGAGTTGGAGAAAACTACAAAAAGCTTTGTGTACTTGTGATGGTACTGTCATTTGGGAAGCTACAAACAGTGATTTCGTGACACCATAAGGCTTAGTAATAAAAGTTGACAATACATTAGGTTACTGTTAGCAATTAAGCCTTTGTTTTGAACCAAAATTTGAGCTTGACTTTAAACACAACATAAGCGTTTAGTATTGTACCAAACTAATCAACATGATACAGTGATTAGTGATAGTTTGACAGCAATCGTAGAGCTAGGTACTAAAACTCATTGGATTCGGTGAAGATAACAACAGGTTTCGTGGTGTAGTTGGTTATCACGTCAGTCTAACACACTGAAGGTCTCCGGTTCGAACCCGGGCGAAGCCAATTTTCTTAACTTTTTTTTATCCCTTTTCTTTTGGTCTATTGACACCAAACGTTTTGGATAATGTTTTGATGGCCCCATACATATAGCTTTCTTCCCACTATATGAAGGCCCACTCATGTTGAATAGTTATACCTCATAACAAGTCCAGCCAACAAGTTAAGTAGTTAAAAAAATTAAGAATTGGTACTTGAATTTGTATTTGAAATTCAAATTTAGATACTTATTATATGCAAGTACAGTAAAACCTCTATAAATTAATACTCGATAAATTAACAATCTCTATAAATTAATAAATTTCACTGGTCCCAATTTGGGCCGGTGTAAAATATAACACAAATCGATAAAATAATAAGATAATAATATTTTTAAAACTACCATGTAAATATATGGTCCCACTAAAATCATAAATTAATAATCTAGCTATATATAATTTTATATAAGTACAATCTAACATTATATTGTTGGTTTTATATTTACTATAAAAATACTTTTATTTTTTTTAAACATTTCAATATATTTTGATAATATTTAGTTAGGAGTTTTATATTTACTATTAAAATACTTTTAATTTTTAAACATTTGAATATATTTTGATAATATTTAGTTAAATTATATCAAAAACCATGTAACAATTCTATGAAACATAAAAATATACACCAAATAAGATAATAAAATAATATAAAAGGCAAATTTCTAAAATTTACATAATGTACATATGCTAAAAAAAAAATTTATAAATAAAAAAATCTAAATAAGGAAACTTTCGTAAATTAATATCTCTATAAATTAATAAAATTTCAAAGTCCCAACATTATTAATTTATAGAGGTTTTACTGTAGTTGTTTCTTATGGAACGAATCAGTTGTTTCTGTCGAAAATCTAATATTTATACGTCACATTTATTTATGTTTGTATACATATATACATAAACTCCATGAGCTGGATTTTATATAAGGAAAAGGACGAAGAATAAGATGATCTAATAAGACATAAACAACAAGTAATTCAAAATTTAGTTGTATAAATATATTTACAGTACAAGGAAAAAAAAGAGATTCATTTTCAAATGAATATAAACAAAAAACATTGTATTTATATAATATGATGAGTTCCAAGCTCGTGTTAGATGGTGATATGTTGTGGTAAAAAGCGTTTGGCTGCTGAAAGGGGTTAATAAAGTTTTGGATATAATCTTATGTCTCTACTTCCTCTGATTGCATCGCACTTAGCTTCTTCTTGGCATAGATTGTGCAGAGTATAGTTGCGCTTGCAGTTACACAAAAGCCAAGAACATTCACTACTATCTCCACCACCGAAAGACCGTGTCTTTTGTCTGATGCAACAGCTAGTGTTCTTAGCATTATTCCCCTACAAAAAAACAAACAAAACATGATCATCTATAAAGGGTAAATCTCAATATAAGATGCAAGTAACTGAGGGATGGTTGCTAACTTGCATCTTGTGGAGGAAGAGATGTCCTATTAAGAAAGGAAGAGAAACACCAATTGATGCTGCGGACAGAATCAATAGAAACCCTTTCCCATAACCAAAGGTAAGACCAGCCATCCACATGGAAGGAGAAGAAGGAAGAAGAATGCTTGGGAATAAAGCAACCGAGGCAAAGAGGAGAAGACCTAGGACTGGGATGCTGAATGTGCTTCTCACCCAATTTATAAATGGAATCAGTTCCTGAAACGTAGACATAGCTATACAATTAAGGATAAACCAATTTGAACGCTTAAAACCTAAAACATGCTCAATATAAATACACACGAACCCTAATTTCGAAACATTAAACCCTAAAAAATAAATAAAGAACGAACCTTTTCGATCAAGAAAGGAGCAATCCATTCAAAAAGAATCTAAATTATTCGCTTATCTTTTTTTTATTCGAGGCCCCTTTAAACAAATAATATCCCAATAATTAGTTAGTGTGGTTTACTTTGAAAATTATTAAACCGGTGTCGCAGTCGGACACGAGGTTACTACTTAGCTGTTGCTCACTAAGCCCCGATATATATAAACCAGTTGCTGAGTCACTTGCTTTATGTTCGCCTTGTCGTATGCCGTCACGATAAGTCCCATGCATGCGTTTTTTTCTGACACTTATCGTTATCGAATCAGACAAGAAGCACAAAATCAGATATGGTACTTATCTTTTTAGGGTTTATTAATTACGGCATGAAAGTAGCAGTGTAACATAGTCAGATAGTATTCGAATTCTGATTTTATTAAGCATATTTTATGTAGAATGTTAAGGAAATTAGTTGCTTGAAAGCAAATACTTATACAAAAGCATTACAGAAACAAGACAATGAAAAGCAACCCAAATTGATACTTAGAAGCAAATTCAAATTCAAAAGAATATCCCTATAGAAATAATAAATTTTCACTATCATGAAATCATATGTGACTAATGACTATCACAATAACATATCCTTCAGATGGCAAGAGTCAGATCTAAGATTTTGCAGACCACAAATATTTCTTTAAGAATTTTCATAATTTGTATTTTTTTCTTCACAATTTTGGATACTTATAGACATGTAAAAATCATTCAAAAATTTGGGAGGCCAACACCATTATTATCCTATGCTCAAACTCAACTCTAGATAATGGTATGTTACAGTTATGGTTAAAAAAAATAATGAAACCATCTTGAAAGAAATAGTCTGAAGATATATAAGGCTAAACACAAATATTCGATACTTCATTTGTATTAGTTTGTAAAGCCAAACATTTGGTTTTTAAAATACTGGAATTCGGTAAACTTTACATCTTAAAATCTGTAAACACTGACATAGAAGTTTTGGATATAGAAGATTTTAAACTTTAACTATTACAACACGATGATTCAATAACCATATACTCGATAGAAGGAAAAAATTAAGTTAGAAATGTTCTACATGTATAGCTTTAGAGCATGTTTAATGGAGGTTACTTAAAGAGTTGTTTAAGAGGATATAAATGCTGGATTTGAAACAACTCTTTAATAGCATCTCCAACCTCACTCCATAATTTACTGTAAAATGGAGTGAGAAATTGAGTGATGAAGAAACAAAAAAATGATTACTCCAAATATGGAGTAATGAGATTTTTGTTTCTTCATTACTCCATTCTCCACTCCATTTTGCAGTAAAATATGGAGTGGGATTGGAGATGCTCTAAGCAATATGCATTAAACATGCTTTTAGAGGCCACCTTTCCTTATTTTAATATACTTTTCATGTTATGTCATCATCAACCAGCGAAGCTCTGGCTCCACAAACCAAACCCGGTTCATATAAACCGATTATATACTAAAAAAAACTAGACCAACTTTATCGTAATTCACAAAGTCACAAACACCCAAAAAAAGTCCGACAACCCCACCCATTATCTATCTATCACTCAACTTTATACCACACATAAAAAAGTTCAATCACTACCTACCGTTAGATTATCGAAAGATGAAGTCATTACTCTCCAGTTATTTCATCCTACGACTATAACCAGAAGCTGCATTAAATCTCCCCTGCACCTTACCGCATATACGTATAAATCATTCAGGCACAGAATTACAAAGACAAAAAGTAAAGTACCAAAAAAGGTCTCTTTGATTTTGGTTTCTCTACTTTTGTCTTATCAGCGAATCCAAAGCGGTATTTGGTATCATTTCTCCGTCTCCTGATCAAGGGCAGTTTCGTCACAACAGAAACTTCTTTAATATTAAAAAATTTAAAGTCTTTGGCTTGAGTAACAAGACAGAAATCTACCTTTTATTCTCTTTATGGATATGTTCATTTTGCTTTATTTTCTCGGCGAGAATATGTCAAAAGAGAGATACAAATAAAATAAAAAACCACCCGTGACCGTGAGCCATAGTTTCTCCATCTCCATCTCTCTGCATCTGTTCTTCGATTCAAAGTTTGTGTTCTTCTCTTTTCTTCCTCTGTTTTTTTATATTTTTTTAGGTTTTTTAGAAGATTTTCGATAATGGGTTCAGAGCAAAACGACAGCTTCTCTCCATCAGAGCCAAAGCTCTGCGTCAACGGATGTGGCTTTTTCGGAACACCATCGAACATGAACCTCTGCTCCAAGTGCTACCGTGACATCCAAGCCACAGAGGCACAAGCCGCCTCCGCTAAAGCCGCCGTGGACAAATCTCTAAACCCTAATAAACCTGAAACCAAACCACCACAAGAGAGCCTCAAAACCGCTCAAGAGTCATCCACGTCAACGAGCGTTGGAGATTCCTCTGGATCTTCTTCCTCAGATCCGCCAAGAGCTACGAGGTGCTTGAGCTGTAACAAGAAAGTAGGTGTTACGGGGTTCAAGTGCAGGTGTGGGAGCACTTTCTGTGGGACCCACAGGTACCCGGAGAGTCATGACTGTGAGTTTGATTTTAAGGGAGCGGCTAGAGAAGCTATTGTTAAGGCGAATCCTGTGGTGAAAGCTGATAGGTTGGATAGGATATGATATTTAATATCGTGTTCTGTTTTCAAGTGTTGGTGTTTGGTTCTTTTTCTGTTCTTGTTATGATTTGATTTGCTTAAGTGTTTCTTAGGAAAAAAAAAATCTAGGATTCTGCTTTTGTGGTTTCATAATTTATTGTTCTGTAATAAAAAGTTTGGTCTTATCAAAAAGTTTGAATCATTGGAAGTTGTGGTTTTGTGTAGCTTATGGTTTATAAATTTGTGTAATTTTGATAGCTACAGAGCTGATGATGTTGTAGAGTGAGTTTGGAGTTTATATGCATATCTTTGCCATACACTTTTGAATACACAGATGGGGAAGCTTCAATGTCATGGAAAATAGAGAAGATTGTCGTCTCAGCAGGAAGGCTTCAAGTAATTCGCAGCAGTCATAATACTTCATAGAGCCGTTTTTAGTGGCTCTGCAATTACACTTCAGGCCCCTCTGCTGTGCACTGTTTTGGCAGAAGGAAGCTTCAAGTAACTCGCAGCAGCCATAATCCTCCACAAGATTCATAGAACTTGCCAATGCATAAACTTTTGAGTTGCAGATGTCTACTTCAGACCCTCTTGATGAGCAATAGTTTTGGCAGCACAAGTCTTTGTCCTGAAAAGGAATATGCTTTGAATCATTCATTTTATGATCACCAGTTTTGTTGCAAAGCTTGAAGCATCTTCTTCTCAGCTTGATCCAAAACCAGAAAGTATGATTTTCTAACAGATCTGCAGCTCCGGCCTGGAGTGACAACAAGACAATCCAAATCCTCAAAGTCTTTTCTACTTTGATGCTTAAACTCGTGATATTGCCCTGGAACATTTTAACACAACCACTTGAGAACAGATGTAGCAGTGTCATAGACACATGATTGAACAGAAAAATGAAAAAGTTAACATTATAACTGTCTCACTTTTGTTTCAAGACAGAAAAGTTGATGTAGTCTTACTTTCTGCACCCAAATTCCCAACAGAGCAAAAAAGTATGTCCTTGGATAAAACTTAAGCTATGGAGATGGTCCCTTTAGTGTATTGATTCAGTCATTAAATATGTGTGTGTGGGGGAAAAGCTAAGGTATCAGAATGGTTACATGGGGAGCTGGTAAGGATCTCAAGAGAATGTCCGAGAGAAGACATAACAAGTCTTGCTCGCAGGACTCTCACTTTCTTTAAGTCCCACTTTTCTTACTGCACTCAGACGTCTCCCTGTTGATATCCGGTAAGCCAGTTTAACTTCTAACTTACCTGAACCTGATTGCTGGATAAAGAAGGGTGGTTCTAACTTCTAACAACATTTATATTACCTGTATGCCTCCTCTTGTAGGATCTCATGAGATTTTGTCTATGTTTGAATCATGATATGGATTTGGGTCTCATTCTAGCTACCACCACACTTGCATGCACTTGATACAGATTCGTTTAAGTGCATATCCATCAGCATGAATCAGAAGCTAATAATTTAAAGCAATAAAATAAGGACAAGACTGAAGGCTATCATCAAGCTCTGTTTAGATGTTAACAAACAAACTTAGTTTCAGCTAACAAATATCATAAAACATTAACCGGGACTGTCTCTTGCAAACTAAGATCAGGCATTCTAAGAAAGCATGTCTAGAAAGCTTTTGTCCAATCTACCATCCGATAACATATCCATAACAATCTTTATGGTGGAAACATCTGCTGAGAAGCCACACCTCTTCATTTCTTCGATGAGTTCAGCTGAAGTGCTTATGTCACTGCCTCTGAGATGAGCTCGGATTAGTGTGTTGTACGTACGATCATCTGGCGCAATCCCATCCTCTTCCATTTTCCTAAACAACATTCCAGCTTCCGACAACGAGCCTTTCTTACATAGTCCTCCAATCATTATGCTGTACGTCTTAACATCAGGCTTCACTCCTTTCAAAGGTAGGCTGCAGAATAGATCCCAAGCATCATCGACTTTACCCGCATTGCACATCCCGTGTAAGATGATAGTATATATACAAATATCAGGATCAATCTTACACTCGTGCATCTTTTCAAGTATTTCCAATGCCTCTTCTACTTCTCCATTGTCACACAACCCATCCATCAAAATACCGTAAGTCATAATATTAGGATGAACACCTTCAGAAACCATCTCTTGGAAGAGTTCCTTGGCGACGGTAAGGTTTCCAGATTGACAAAATCCTTGGATGAGTGTGTTATACGTGACTGTATTGGCAACCACTCCTCTTATACACATTTTACGGAAAAGCCTGATACCTTTATCGACCTGTTTAGACTTACAGTATCCGTTGATAATGATATTAAATGTCACAATATCAGGATCGCATCCCTTGGTAACCATCAGATCCAGCATCTGGTTGGCTTCATCTAAGCGCTTTTCGTTGCACAACCCATATATCAAAGAATTATATGTAATGGTGTCAGGATCTATGCCTCTTGTGATCATCTCATTGTACAAGTCTTTAGCCTCAGTAAGCTTTCCCTCTTTCACAAAACTATCAATCAAAGTATTGAAAGTGACAACGTCCGGTGTAATTCCCCTTGTAATCATATCTCTCAGCAACTGTGCGCCCTCTTCCCATCTACCTGCATTACAGAAACCTCCAATGAGAGAGGTGTAGGTAAAGACATCTGCTTTGATGCCTTTGGTTTCGATTTCATTGAAAAGGCTGAGAGCATCTTCGAGGCTCCCATCTTTGCAAAGACTATCGATGATCATAGTGTATATGACTACTTGAGGCTTGATCTTTCTATCTTCCATCTTTCTGAACAGATCTAAGGCCGAGGCAGTGTTCCCTGTCTTACACATTCTGTTCAAAACCGGACCATAGGTAACTCCATTGGGTTGGCATCCATTATCCACCATTCGATCTATCAAAGCCATAGCTTCAGATACTCTATCTTGGAGACAAAGTCCATTGATAATAGTGTTAAGTATGATGAGATCTGGAATAACCTTCATTTCCACCATCCGATCAACTAATTCAACAGCTTGTGAAACTAGACCCTTGAGACATAAACCGTTAATCAAAGTAGAGAATGTGACTCTGTCAGGCTCATACCCAAGTTTCAACATCTTTCCCAACACAGAAAAAGCAAAACCCAGTTTACGACTCCTACAAAAGCAGTTGATGACAATACTCAGCGTGTAGTTGTTATGTGAAATCCCTTTAAGCTCCATTTGCTTGCAGAGATCCAAAACGAGATCATACTGTTTTGTTTTAGCAACTAAACCAAACAGTCTATTGAAGTCTATAACCGTAGGAAGAGGACGAGACCGAATCATGGATTGAAACAAAGCAACAGCATCATCCTTCTTGATATCGACGAGACCACTTCTCAACCTCTCTTTGTAAGAAGAGACCTTTCTACCGCAGCCACCAGAGTAGCTTCGTTCGCATGAGGAAAGTAAAAAAGAGTATAAAGGAGTTGTAAGAGTACCTCCTGGACTCAGGGTGATACGAGGCACAAGTACCAATCTCCGACACAACATATTCTCTGTTTGGTTTCAAACCCTAGAAGAAGGACAACTCGACTCCCATGGAGGATTCTTCTCCTTTCACCAAAAATATATCTTCACCACCGAACTAATTTTATCTATAACATTTCATGGTTAATTTTGTAGATCCCGGCGAAGAACAACAAGACGAAGAAGCAAAGCCAAGAGTGTTCTCTCATGTCTCGGTTCTGAGAAATTTTTAAGATTAAATCTAATTCGGTTTAAGAAGCGGTATGGATCCGGTTTGTATAAAGCCAGACCGTGTGTGATATCATGTCCGGGTTTCATTTTTCTTATACTACCAACAGTTTCAGTTTATTATTTGTTATAGGCCGGTTCATGCTCATTCTTGGTTATTAACCCCCAATTATTTGTTGATTGGCCGGTTCATGCTCACTCTTGGTATTAACCCCAATTATTTGTTGATAGGCCGGTTCATGCTCAATCTTGGTTATTAACCCCAATCATTCATTAAACCGGATCATTTTCTTTCGGTTTTTAGAATCAGCTCTGGTTAGGCTGCCAACAAGACAAGAACGCCAGAGATTATGGGAGATTCTTGACAATGGCATTGCAAACTGTTGAGTATCCTGCTATAGAACTTTCACAACTAATAAAAAGCATACATTATGACATTATGTTGTCTCAAGCCTCTATAGACTCTTGAGTATCCTGCTATAGAACTCATTCAAATTCTGATACCCGTTTTTCAAAAAGCCTGAAGAAATTAAGATATCATCACTTCCCTACCAATACCTTACCACTAACCGAATTATATATATATATTTTTAAAAATAACTTTCAGACAACATTTATACATGAGATTATGAGATTTTGCGTATGGTTGAATCATAGATTTGTGTCCCTTTCTACACCACACTTCACTTATAATCCATGTTTCTCCCAATTGGAGATTGCACGCACTTGATGCACAAGACTGAAGGCTATCATCAAGCTCTGTTTAGATGTTAACAAAAAAAAAACTTGGTTTCAACTAATAAGCCCAAATACACATCATCAAATACACTAATCGGGACTTTTGTCTCTTGCAGATAAGATGCAAAACATTCTAAGAAAGCATGTCTAGAAAGCTTCTGTCCAATCTACCATCCGATAACATATCCATAACAATCTTTATAGTGGAAGCATCTGCTGAGAAGCCACACCTTTTCATTTCTTCTATAAGTTCAGCTGATTTGATTAAGTCGCCATCTCGGAGATGTGCTCGGATTAATGTGTTGTATGGACCACTATTTGACACAATCCCATCCTCTCCCATCTTTCTAAACAACATGCCCGCTTCAAACAATGAGCCTTTCTTACATAACCCTCCAATCATTATATTATATGTTTTAATATCAGTCTTCACTCCTTTGAGAGGGAGGCTACAGAATAGATTCCAAGCATCATCGACCATATTTGCATTGCACATCCCGTGAATGATGATATTATATATACCAATATCAAGTTCCATCTTACTCTTGTGCATTTTTTCAAGTATTCCCAAAGCCTCTTCTAGTTCTCCATTCTCACACAGCCCATCCAACAAAATTTTGTAGGTAACAATATTAGGATGAACACCTTCAGAAACCATCTCTTGGAAGAGTTCCTTGGCCACATTAAGTTTCCCTGATTGACAAAATCCTTGGATGAGAGTGCTATAAGTGACTGTATCGGCAACCACTCCACTCATTGACATTTTGCGGAAAAGTCTCATAGCTTCATCAACCATTTTAGCCTTGCAATAGCCGTTTATAAGGATACTGTAAGTCACAATATTAGGATCACACCCCTTGGTAACCATCAGATCCACCATCTGGTTGGCTTCAACTAAACGGTTCTCCATGCACAACCCATATATCAGAGAATTATATGTAATGGTGTCAGGATCTATGCCTCTTGTGATCATCTCATTGTACAATGTTTTAGCCTCAGTAAGCTTTCCCTCTTTCACAAGACTATCAATCAAAGCACTGAAAGTGATGACATCTGGTGTGATTCCCCTTGTAATCATATCTCTCAGCAACTGTGCCCCATCTTCCCATCTACCAAAACTACAGAAGCTTCCAATGAGAGAGTTATAGGTGAAGACATCTGCTTTGAGCCCTTTGGTTTCCATTTCATTGAAAAGGCTGAGTGCATCATCAAGGTTCCTATCTTTGCAAAGACTATCGATGATCAGACTGTATGTGACTACATCGAGCTCCATCTTTCTATCTTCCAACTTCCTCAGTAGATCCAAGGCCGAGGAAGTGTTCCCTGACTTACACATTCTGTCTAAAATCGGACTATAGGTAACTCTATTGGGTTGGCATCCATTTTCCATCATTCGATCTATTATATTCACTGCCTCAGACACTTTATCCCTGAGACAAAGTCCATTGACAAGAGTGTTGAGAGTGATGAGATCTGGTAAATGTTGACTTAGGACCATAGAATCAACTAACTCCACAGCTTCAAAGACTCTACCCTCGAGACATAATCCATTGAGGAGTGTGTTGAATGTGACTCTGTCAGGCTCATACGCAAGCTTCAACATCTTCCCCAAAACAGAAAAAGCAAAACCTAGTTTCCGACACCGGCAGAAGCAATTGATCATAATGTTGAGAGTGTAGAGATCATACTCAATCCCTTGAAGTTCCATTTGCTTGCAGAGATGTAAGACGAGATCATACTGTTTTGTTTTAGCAACTGAACCAAACAATCTGTTGAAATCTATGACGGTAGGAAGAGGACGAGACCGAACCATGGATTGAAACAGAGCAACAGCATCTTCCTTCTTGATATTGACGAGTCCACTTCTCAACCTCTCTTTGTAAGAAGAGACCTTTCTATCGCAGCCACCAGAGAAGCCTCGTTCGCATGAAGAAAGGAAACAAGAGAGCAAAGGAGTACCTCCAAGACTCAGAAGGATACGAGGAGGTTCAAGCACCAATCTCCGACACAACATATTATTGTCTGTTTGGTTTCAAATCTAGAAAACCCCACTCTTAGAAGAAGAACAATTCGACTCCCATCTTCACTTGACTTGATGATTCTTCGCTTTTCACTAAACTAATTTCCATTTACAGCAGAAACAAGACGACGAAAGCAAAGTGTTGTCGTTTAAGGTGAGACAGGATTCTCGCTTTTTCTTCTTCGGCTTATGTTTTGTTTTTGGGGATTTTATTTGTTTTCAGAACCGGTAGGAATCCGGTTTTCATTAAACCAGACCGCACGATTTCTTCGGTGCAATAATAACCGTAGAGGCACATAACCAAGTCTCTGAGGCTGAAAAGAGATATGCCAATGCACTAGAGGTACATGAGTTCTTTCTCTGTAACATGACCGTGCTATTGAGATGGTCTCTTTGGTGTATTGATTCAGTCATTAAATATGTGTCTGGAAGAGAGCTGGTCAAAGAATCAGAAGAAGATGTTGGACACTCTGAGATCATGAGACTCCATAAGATGGTGGAAACTGAGACACAACAAAAATAAAAATAAAAATAACTAAAAGGGGAGATAGCTACACCTGCATACTCAACTACTGCAGTTGAGTCTTTACTGCTGACGAGGTTAAAGCATGTTCTTTATGTATCATAGTGTTCTGTTATTTTTTTTTTTTTCCAATATCAGTTTAAATGAAATTTTGTGAGGGTTTCATGTTTTCAATTAGTTTGAATGAAATCTTTTATGTCTCAAATTAAGTCTTTCTCAGATCCAAGATCCTGGAAATGCTAAGAGAACTCCTGTAGATAGACTATTTGGAACAAGGTAATGTATGATGTTTCACACCATCAGTTACTTGTTTTTGGATGTTTCACTTCATGTTTTAGTATTTTTCTTACTAAGTCAGTTTATATACTTTTATTCTTAGAAACCAACCAAGACTGATCATGGATCAAGGAGATATTGGTTTATTGTTGTCATCAACATCAGCTCAAGATCCTCAGACCCTCAGGATGATCGCTGGAGCATTTGATACAATACTCAGCTAATCTATTTATTTAATTCCTAACCACACATTTGATTTGGTGGGTTTTGTTCATGTATAAAGACGACTTTGTTGTTAAACTGGTATATGGTTGTGTTACCGCAATTCATTACTACAAACTGAATTAGTAGCTAAACACATGAAGAAAAAAACGGTAAAAAAAAAAGAGGACAAGACTAAAGACATCAAGCTGTGTTTCGATACCAAACAAACTTAATTTCTAGTTTCAACTAATACGCCTAAATACACATCATAAAACACTAACCATGACTTTATCTCTTCCAACTAAGATCCAAACATTCTAAGAAAGCATATCCAGAAAGCTTTTCTTCATTCTACCATCCGATAACATATCCATAACAATCTTTATGGTGGAAGCATCTGCTGAGAACCCACAACTCTTCATTTCTTCAATAAGTTCAGCTGATTCTGTTAAGTCACCATCTCGGAGATGTGCCCTGATAAGAGTGTTGTATGGACCACTATCTGGTGCTATCCCTTCCTCTTCCATTTTTCTAAGCAAGGTGTTTGCTTCAGCCAGTGACCCTTTCTTACATAATCCTCCAATCATTATAGTATATGTTTTGACATCAGGTTTCACTCCTTTCGAAGGTAGGCTACAGAATAGATCCCAAGCATCATCAACCTTACTAGCATTGCACATCCCGTGAATGATGATACTATATATACCAATATCAAGTTCCATCTTACTCTTGTGCATTTTATCAAGTATTCCCAAAGCTTCTTCTAGTTCTCCATTGTCACACAATCCATCCAGCAAAATACTATAGGTCACAATATCAGGATGAACACCTTCAGAGACCATCTCTTGGAAGAGTTCTTTGGCCATATTAAGCTTTCCTGATTGACAAAAGCCTTGGATGAGAGTGCTATAAGTGACTGTATTGGCAATCTTTCTACATTCCATCTTTCTGAGAAGACCCAAGGCCAAGGCAATGTTCCCAGACTTGCACATTCTGTTCAAAACCGGACCATAGGTAAACTGATCGGGTTGACATCCAATGACCATCATTCGATCAATCAAAGACATTGCTTCAGACAGCCTATCTTGGAGAGAAAGCCCATTGACAATAGTGTTGAGTATGATGAGATCTGGTATAACCTTCATTTCCACCATACGATCAACCAACTCCACAGCTTGGGAAACTAGACCCTTGAGACATAAACCGTTTATCAAAGTTGAAAATGTGATTGTGTCGGGCTCATACCCAAGCTTCAACATCTTTCCCATAGCAGAAAAGGCAAAACCGTTTCCGGCGACGGCAGAAGCAATTGATGACAATACTCAGCGTGTAGTTGTCATGTGCAATCCCTTTCAGTTCCATTTGCCTGCAGAGATCCAACACGAGATCATACTGTTTCGTTCTGGCCACTGCACTAAACAATCTACTGAAATCTATGACCGTAGGAAGAGGACGAGACTCAATCATCGTTTGAAAGAGAGCAACAGCATCATCCTTCTTAATACCAATAATCCCACTTCTCAATCTCTCTTTGTAAGAAGAAGAGATCTTTCTATCGCAGCCGCCAGAGTAGCCTCGTTCGCAAAGGAAACAAGAGAGCAAAGGAGTACGTACTGGACTCAGGGTGAAACGAGGCACAAGTACTAATCTCCGACACAACATCGTCTGTTTGGTTTCAAACCCTAGAAGAAAAAGAAGAAGAACAACAACATCGTCAGTGGCTCTTGATTCTTCTTTAACTGCACATTTGAACTAATTTCACCTAAAGCAGGAAAAAAACTCAATACTCGTTTGTGAATTTTAAACCTCAGTCTCAGATTTTGGATACTAAGGGTGTGACTGGTTGAAACGCGGCGGTTGCGATTGCGGTTGCGGGAGTTTGTGGATGTGGGTGGTTGCGGTTTCTAGCGTTATTAGGCGATTTGTACGACTGGTATAGCGATTAAAAACTGGTGCGTTTGCGGGACATTTATGACTGGTTGATTATGAGATACTACAGCGTTTCAATAATAAATTTCCAATATTAACATATTATAACATTATAAAAATATCAAAACATACTGTTATGATAAAAAATAATAACTATTAATATATTATAAGTAATAATAATATTATTTTATTATTTTTTATTTAGATGAAAATATAATTTCTATAATTAATAAAATATTCTAATATAAATAATTATATATTTATCTATTTATCTATTTATCTATTTATATATGTATATATATATATATTGATTTATTTATATATTTATATATTTATATATTTATATATTTATATATTTATATATTTATATATTTATATATTTATATATTTATATATTTATATATTTATATATTTATATATTTATATATTTATATATTTATATATTTATATATTTATATATTTATATATTTATATATTTATATATTTATATATTTATAT